AAGGCGTTATTTTTTCTGGATGAAATGGCAGTTCTTTAATTTATTCCGGCTGCTCTTCGTCCCAAATGCAACAATTTTTCTTGTTACAAATTRACCAAGAAATGGGCTTCATCGCTGAACACAATTTGGCTCGAAAACRTCGTACTTTCTTGGAACTTTTCAAGAACCTATTAAAGCGAAGCGATGCCGYTTTGTACGCTCTCATTTTAAGTTTTCRACGTAAAATRWGCCAAGTCGYTGCCTACGTCAGTCYGASTTGCTGCAATCGAGTCCGAATCGACTCTCCACGGTCTTCGTGTACACTCTCAGCTACGGCTGCTATATTTTCTYCGCAGCGTGCTGGACGTGATCTATTCKGTCGAATATTATCWAATAATAAATGTTGGGTCTCAAGATGGATAATGGTACTGCGAACAKTACGCTTAGTAGGTAGTTGAGCGAAGCGCRCGAAACACATTTTTAAGTCGTTCCATGATGAAGTAACCAACAATACTGAACCAGAATAACAAGACAGCTTAACAAGACTCACGCGTCAAAAACAGGCTATTGAAAAAAGTACTTCTACTTAGATGACTGAAAAATTTGATTTCAACACATACCAAGTGTATTGAGGTTATATTGAACTTTTTTTAAAGTCAATCATTAAATTAACATCGAATTGGTTTTTCATAACGTTTGGAACATGAATGCCTTTTGTTTCTTTCAGAAATATTAATTTCTTTATGGGAATCCCCTTACCTGAGAAGCTATACTCATTCCATTACTGGGTAATCTTTTATTGCCCMAATATCATTTGCTTTAATTAACTTTGATCCGTATGTAAATATTTAAAAATATATTATATTTAATTGCGAAAGTGCTGCTAATATAAAATGATCGCTGCGTTATTATTGTAAAACATCAAAAATGTCATGTAAATATATGTAATTACATGTCAATAAATAAAGTATTTGTCACACAATTAAATTAATTTTGTTTCCGTTTTAATCTATCTGTAATTTGAATCTATAAAATTGATATTTTCACATATTCAAATTAAATGATTATATACAAGTACTTAAATACAAGCTGTTGTAATTATAAAGCTCAGTATTTGTAGTTTGATACTCARTATATGTGCTTATATATTGTATGAGTGTGCACGTTTTCAGACACGTTTTTAACACCACCGAAACTCTGAAATGCATTAAATATTTAGATCTAAAACGATCATCAAATTCATAAGATCGGATCACTACAGCATATACATATGTAGCTGCCATATTGGATTTTTGTGTGTAAGATATTATAGATTCGGTGTTTTTTGTCATTTCATTTTCAATGTAAATAATGAAATTATTACCTTAATCTACAATTAGCTGTTAAAAATTAAGCTTGTCACCAAGTTATTTTTATCAGAACTTTATGTTTTGAGAGCATAGACAACAATCGTGGCATAAAGACTGCTAACATCTATGTATTTATTTGCTTTCTCTCCATAGTCGCTGATATAAAAACATATTGTTGATGTAGATGGCAATTGTTTGGAAGCAAGGCAGCAAGGTAGACGTAAGAATATTTGTTTGGTATGAAAAATTAAATACATTGACCCTGCTTACTTCAATAGTCATGTTGATCACACCCTTTGTGAATGTTTTTCTCTAGTGTAACATACATATCATTAAAGGCCAATACCTGCATGATGGGTGATTCAAKTAGAGGTACCTTTTTCAATAGCCTTTTTTTACGAATCACTCGTGAGTTGCGTCCAGCTTTTATATTATTTTTGTTCAGTATTGTTTGGCATTTTATCATAAAAAGACTTACGCCGGAACAACGTTTAAAAATCGTTCAASTTTATTACGAAAATTCACGTTTTGTAAATAATTTGTTTCACGAGCTTCGCTCAACTTGCCTGTATGGTCAACGTATGGTAGTCGGACCGACGTATGGAACGATTTGGCTGATTTGTCAAGATCTTAAATTGAAAAAGTTCAAAGTACAACTTGTTCAAGAACTCAAGCAGCTCGATTTTTTCAACAGACATCACTTTGCTCTATGGCCACTTAAAAAGTTCTAAGAAAATCAGACATTTCGAACCACATTCATTTCAGATGAGGCCATTTTCAAGCTCAACGGGTATGTAAACAAACAAAAATTGCCATATTTTTGACAAAGGGTAACCTAAAGAGATTCAAAAGCTGTCATTTCATTTCAAAAAGACAATGGTTTCATGTGGTTTGTGGCCTGGTGGAATCATCGGTCCATATTTCTCCAAAAATGATGCCGAGGAGAACGTAACCATCAATGGAAACCGTTATCGCGCCATGATATCCGACTATTTGATGACTGAAGTTGAAGCCGAGCGTGATCTCGGTGACATTTGGTTTCCACAATAGATTAATTRATGGAACACTTCGGTAAGCAGATAGTTTCACGTTTTGGACCGGCAGATGGGCTACTAAGRTCGTGTGTTATCACAACGTTAGGCTTTTTCCGGTGGGGATATGTCAAGTCTATGAAAGTAAATCCGCTACCACTTAACATTTATAGCTTATGACACTTTTGGAGAAGGTTGCCAACCATTCGAAAAAGAAAGTGGTACAAAATATTAAAATAAATTAAGTTTTATGATGTTTGATGAACACAAAATAGTTTCTATGTTATTTATGTATAACAATTCAACTCAACCCAACAAACCAACATTTCAGCAATAGCAAGCACATACGAAAATTGTTTAACTTCGCTCAATGTTSATTTCTACGTGAGCCTATTGCTGATGCATTTCTTTCTTTTAAAAATTGGTTACCATAAAAAATTTAAAATCGGGGCAATCACTTTTTAAATGTCACTAAGCAAATGATTCTCAAAAYATTTGTACATATAAACGTAATAGACGTTCAACGATCGCAGATTYTCAATGTCGCCTGACGTTGTTAGCATTTCAATTTAGCAAAATATTGGCTAAGAGGTTGATTATTCATAGCAAGTAGTATGAAAGTGTACATAGGCTGTAAGTTTGCATGCAGMTATTTATTTAGGCATATACATAAGTAGGCAGCACGATGCCATGCTATTTGATTGTCATTTCAACATGGGCCGCTTACTTGAAAATGTCACGTGCTAAATTGCAACTAAAACTTGCAAACATTGAAAATCCAAAAATACAGTGAAAAATAAAAGTATTTTGCCGAAGAAATACAGAAAAATATTAAATAAACACCTGACCAACAAAAGCAATTTGAGGAGAATATATTCAACTATTGTTAAATCTGACGATTACTACTGTTAGTTTTATTGAAGGAATTAAATGCTAAACCGTTGAAAATTCTTTTATTGTTTTATTAAACTCTATAACATCTCTAGAATAATTTCCCAACTCTCAATTTCATCCGAGTAATAGTTTTGAAGAGATAGACTTGAAAAAATGCGCGCTCGAGACCAGCTATATGCTCACTTAAAACATAAAACATGTTCTCGAAACTGTCTTCAAGTCAATTTTCAATATTTATCGCGAGCTACTCAACCGATTTTAATGAAGGTCTTCGAGACATAACACTTAAGTTCTTAAGCGATGGATTTTGTTAAATTAMAACTACGGTAAATTTTGAATTTTATTGTAAAATTGCCTTCAAAAATACAATTTTCACTCTTCTTTCCCTCGTCTAATACCTAGTTTATGGTCGTATTTTTATAAGCTTCCAACATGCTGCTACAGAGTATAATAGGTTTATTAACCTAACACTTGATGAACTTGTAGTATTATATAAATATATGGCAATGATCAGGATGAAGTGTGTCATTGACTTGATTAAAACTTAAGATATCTTGATGGCACAAAGGTCTTTAGCAAAAAAGTAAGGCGTAACCCTGTCATGCCTACAAAACGCTATTAACGGAAAACTTATAAAGTGCCATARCTAAACACTAAATTAAGATATAAAACTCCTGCGACGCAGGAGATCGCTATAGCTAGGCTCTAATCCGCCCTCTAATAAGTTTAATGTACATATCTCCTAGACCACTAAAGATACAACAACCAAATTAGCACAATTCTTATAAGAACTCCTACAAGTGTGAATATGGATGAGATATGTAGGATGGTAACCCATTTTTTATATAACGGTACAGTTAAATACTTTGCTATAAATCAATAACTGAATACGCAAGAGACATTAAATATAACCCCCAGAGATAGTACGACCATGATTATAAGGGAGTCGGTGAAAAAATTGGTCAATGGGTGCGGCACCTCCCACTTTTAAGTAAAATCACGCATCTCAATACATGCTCGACTGATTTCAACGAAATTCAGCAAATAACATTCTTCTATTATTCTTATTTCACAGCCCCTACGTGCTGAATATGTGGACTCCAGTAACTATTATTGACTTTTGATCAAAAATATCGATCAATGTATGAGATATACAATTGAAACTCATTTGTATAAAAAATTTAATTTTTATATAAAAAAAAATCATTGAAAATAAGCAAACTTTTCTTGCTTTCCACGCAACCTCTTGAAACAAAATATACTTATTCTACCCATTAAAAATATTAAAATMAGATATTTGACTAAAATTCAATTCTTTGGTATTTTAATTGATTTTGATAAATACAAACAGATTTGTTTTATGAAGCTTCGTATAGATATTTGGGTATGGAACAAGACGCCCTAAAAATACTGACAGGTATAAATTTTATACAGAAATAAATGCCACATAAAGCATGTTCTTGTAWTAGCCTTATATTTTTAACTTCAACTTAAACAACCGCAAATCTTCAACAAAATTATACAAAACTTATGCTTTATCTCCTCAAACCAATTGGAAATGTAATCTAGGGTTTTATACAGTAAAATCTAAGGTGAAAGGTTTTCATTAAATAGGCAAATATAAAAATATTGAGTTCTCTTAAAACTTTTTAGCAGATTAAAATAAATTTACAGTAAATTATAGACTATAAGTAGTAAATTCCAACAGTAAAACAGGAAAGTGATATACGAGTACATAGACACTTACCTTAATATTGTGGTTAGTATCCTAAAGTGCATTCAATCTTTCTCGCTGATATTGTGCAATTAACGGTTTCTGTAATTGAAAACATTACTTAAGAAAACTTGTATTGATTAATAAAGTTGTACATATCCGTACAAATAAAACGTATTACTTCGAAATGTTAAGGGGTATTCTACTCTAGAATTTTGAAAAATTCGGTTTATTTTTTTCCATATATATAATGCTTAGACCCTTAAGAACATATCCTCCAAAGGATTTTTAAAAATTAAAATTATTTTAAGAGCTACAGTTACTTTAGTSACGCAGTACCTAGTCCGGTAGATAKGTAGACATTATCTCACCGATTTACTTGAAATTTTGTGTGAACCTTCTTTATATAATCCTTTATCCTTTATMTTTATATAATCCTTWATCCYTTRTTTTTAATATTTTAAAAACATTCAGGAATTTCAAAAAAGAAGCGTAAAARWTWWTTTTWWTTTYMRG